TTAATAAATAAAATAATTAAGTGTGAAGGAAAAATAAGAGCTATTTGCAAAAGAAATCCTACCTCATTCAGTTGCTCCGTAAACTCTTTCTGCCACTCCTGTTTCTCTTCCTCGACTTGTCGATCGATTTCATTCGCCTCCTGTAGGACGTACGACGTTTTGTTCCCCACTTGCTCGATGGCTGCCTTCAGACTCCTCATGTCTTCCTCTTTCTTCTCCTTGTACCTGTCCACAAAAATTAAGTATGAATACCATCCTCTAAAAGATTGAGCTGAGAGTAAATGTTTTCACCCCCCAACATAAAATGAGACCATTTGGGGCACAAGCTGCTTCCATAAAATAATTTCTACACGTGGGAATCAAACTCACATCTTCTGCAAGCGGGGTCAATTTCAGATACTTCTCAGTATGAGTTTTACGGCACTTGCAACACTATTAGGTTATATAAGTGCCGAAAATTAGAGGTGCTACAAAAGAGTAACAAACACATAAAAGGAGTAGGAGAGATCTAGGGACGGTAGAAGTTTGATAGAAAAAAAAGGAGCAAACCACACCAGAGCACGAGCCAATCGCCAACAATTTCAGATAGTTTGGCCAAAAAAAAACCCCTGGTAATATTAAAATGACGCCAAAAAAAACAACCCATCACCCCAGTTTTATTAGTTACCATTGATCGGAGTTTGCTTCTAGCAACATAATTGTGTTATAAAATTTCAAAAAACATAAATTTGAGTGTGTCTTTGTTTGGGAGTGCATATATGTCAAGGTGTATCATCAGTTTTGTTGAAACAAAGCATATGTTGTTTATTTCCCCTACATTTATGGACTGTCGTTCAAGGCATGTATCAGAGTCGGTACTGAATGTGAATTTGAGCCCAGTTCTCCTAATTTTACAGACAGAGAACATCTCCGCACAAAAAGTTTGTTGTTTTTTAAGCGATAGGGAAGGAAAGCTTGCCCAAGACAGAAAAGGACGGAGGAAATCGGTTGAGCGTGGCCTATATCCTGTCACGGGTGAAGGGCATCGACAATGACAACAACAGCAACAATCAGCTGTTCCAACTTACTGCCTGAGGTCTGTCAACTTCTGGTGCTGGTGTTGTTTGTTGATGTCGGTTTGGAGAAAGATCTGTCGCTTCTGCTCCTGTCTGACCGTCAGCTTCTCCGCCAGATCCTCCTGTTGTTTGTACAGCTGATTGTGTTTGTCTCGCAGTTCGTTACGACGTTCCATAACTTTCTGGATTTTGCTCGCAACCTCACTGAAAAACAATTTTTTTTTCAAGTGGCATTTGAAGACTACAGGGGGGGGGGGGGGGGCACGAGAAAAAATATTGAGGACTGCTGCCTTTGTGTGTGTGTGTGTGGTGAAACACTAAAGCAATGTAATGTGAATGTGCCAGCTGTTTGTCTTGTACCATTAGCCATTGACAGTCTTCTTCATTATGAAAATACAACTGCTACGAAACACTTGCTACAGTACCACTAGATCAGCGGAAATCCCCCCCCCAAGACCAGAGCATTTTTCTTTGCAAGATGTCCTCACTACCTGAACGTTAGTAACATCCGCACTATTTATTGAACCATTGAAATTATAAAATGAAAATTGTCTGCTCAGTGTAAGACTGTCATACGTCTGCGAAGTCTTACTTACACTAAGCAATGGAAATGTTACTAGAGAATGGAAAATGAGATGACAAAACAGAAAATCAACCATTTTGTCTAAAAAGCAATTAAAGTTGTACTTTTCCTTGTCTAAAAAGCAATTAAAGTTGTACTTTTCCTTGTCCAAACACCCTTGGACTTCGACGCTTGTCTTCACCGCCCTCTCTGCAGCAAGTCTCTTTCCTTCCGTTTGTTCCTGGGGAGGAAGAGAAAAATGACATTGTTTAGATAGAACTAAGATTTCAACACTCTGTTACAACACAAAGAATTGGTTATTTTGAAAGAGGAAAACCACATCCCATATCAAGTGCTCCAGCTCCGAGAAAAAACCCCCAACAACTTCAGGAAAGATATACGGAAAATGCTAAACAACAAGGATTTGAACCTACATCTTTCACGTAATAGTAAAGTTGATAACCGTCACAAAAGTCAAGCAAATCAATTTTTTTCTAGCAGGCACATTTCCTAGCAACAGCACTATGAGGTTTTCAGAAGTAGAATTACCAAGAGCTGTCTGTTCTCAGAGAGAATCTGCTCCTTCCGCGCCAGTTCCTCCTTCAGTTCGTGAACTCGCTTCTGAAGACGTTCCTGCTCCTGCTTGTATCTCTCCGGAGAGTGGATGATTTTACTGGACAATTTTTCGATCTCCAGTTGGACCTCTGAGATCTGGTGCTTGAGATTTTCCTGAAGGGGACACACAAATTTAGGAAAATGAGATGAAAATAATTTTTTAAAAACTTTTTATAAGGTTAGGAAAAGATACAATTAGTAAAAACCCAAACTAGTTGACCTGTCTTCGTAAGATTTTTATTAAAAACTTTCCATTTAAGTACAGCACTAATAAAGGCAAATCAGTGTCTGCGGTCGGGCTCCTAGTACCTGCATGCACAAGATTTGTGTTTTATCCTTCCATAGTGAAGTCAGTTTTGAAGAGTGTCTCTGTTTTTCTACTGGGATGTTGTCGCACTCAACCAAGGTTAAACCTTTCAGGCAGGGTTAAAACAGCCTTCTTCCTATTAATTATCTAAATTGTATGGATAGGGGTGAAAAAAGTTTACAACCTAAACCTCGAAAAAGAAAAAATGCCCCTCTACTTCATCTAGAGTAATAGATTTCCACTTTAGCATATATGAAAAAATATGACAACTTTACAGTGCGTTTTTTTAAAACTCAAGCCATACAAAAATAATTGATTCAAAGCGTGCAGCAAGAAGACTTTTAGTTGGGCTAGTAAGAACCCTGACGAACATCATCACAACAAAGTACCAGATCCGAGACAGACATCTGTCTGTGATTATGAATATCCAATTATTTCCCCACTCGGATGCTCTTAAAAATCCCATACCATTCCGGTGTTTTCCCATCATCCCCTATCTGTTCAGGTTCCCCAAACAAGTTTCTCTGGGTCTGCCCCAAGCCTGGCCAACATATGAGGAGGTCAGGATAAAAAATACTCAGGCTCTATGAGGCTGAGGTGACTGAGAAAATGAGGAAAAACTAAAATCTACTGTGCACATTATGTCCGTACAATGTTGTGTTTATATGATATTGTATAAGATCTACGGATGACGTTAAGTGATTATCATTGCTGGCACATCACGTTTATGTAAAAGTTGGCACTTAGTACATTTTGATTATGACATTTATGTATTTTTATGTCTTTAACCCAAATTCCCCCATGGGAATCAATAAAAAGCAATCTATTTATTATTTCTTAACTCTTTCACGACCGCAAGCCATGATTCACGGCTCATGTTACCCCCTATGTTGGACTGTGAGCGATGATTCACGGCTCGCTTACATCCTGCTTCAAAACCACACCTATTTTTGTAATAATCGAATCTGAAATCTCAGGCTGAAGACTGATAATTTTAAACAACATGTTGAGATAGGTCATTATTTCCCCTTTATTTTCATACATATATACATAATACATGCGGCTACTACAGAAAATTGAACTAAAAAATCTGTTATTTGTCCGACAGTAGACAGAATCAGAAAGTAGGTCACAGACCGGGCCCAGTCCATGTGAGCCCCCCCCCCGCAGTGAACGAGTTAATTACATACGGCCAGTTTTTCCCTTTCCGAGAGGAGCAGCTTGAGCTCGTCCACACTCCTCAGCTCGGCCTCCTGCTGCTTCCCCAGCTCCATCATCTGCCGCTTCGCCTGCTCCTGCTCCTCTTGAAGCTGAACGACGGGGAGCAAATCACTCAATAATAAGAATCATAATACTGATGATAACAATAATAATCATAATATAACAATAATAATCATAATAATGAGAATACAAATAAAAATAACACTAATATATAATAATAATACCATATATAATCAAAATAATAATATAATAAAAACAATGTAATAATAATAATAATAAAGTATAATAGTAACATATATATGTGACATTTATACAGTGCTCAACCGCGATTAAAAAGAGCACAGGCTCTGAGCCCATTACAAATACAAGAGCAGCACATAAATGGAACACTGTTTTCTGACTGAAAATCTAGATATATCTCTTGAACACTATGCCCCCACGGGACGCTGATCGGCGACGGTAAGAAGCTGTCTCTTTTCCCCAACGGACGCCGATCGGTGACAATGTCAAGTGATATAGCATGTACCGCACCTGTATCCTGGTCTGTGTGTTAATCCAAAAACAATATCTGATATGATTTGAGAGCTGACTTGTGAATAAATCAAAAGATTTGATTCCTCATAAATTACCTAAATCATTTCTTGAAGTTTGGAGAAACTTGGAAGAGAAACAGGTCACATAAATCAGAACCATGACAAGAGCATTTGGTCGCTTTTAAGGACAAGCGGGCTAACCCAGATTTCATGGGTTTCCAGAAATTTTGACCTACACCAAAAGTGGGCACTACCCTACCTATAGGAGAAGTTCTGTTTCATTGGTGTGTATATTTGTTTGGTTATAGAGAGAACTCTCCTTATCTTTTGAAGAAACTGAACAAGGGGCAAAAACTTTTACCTTCGATTTTCTCAAAAACAGCATTTTTCGGGATAGCCCCCTTGTGCTTAAAAGTGACCATGTGTAATTTCTAAATTAAAACACTAGGACGGAAATAGCAAAACAAGACAGTGCTGTCTTTTTTCAAATCCAGTTGAAACTGTCCAGGATATCCACCCACTGTCACCATAATATAGAGAAAAAAATTCATTTTTTTAGTAGAGGACTTACGGCGCTCGCAACTGCATAAGGTCATATGAGAAATTCAAGGGGAAAGTGTTCATTTATTAAGGTGAATTTATGGCTTACAGCAACACCCCCCCCCCCGGGTTGCTGACAAAATGTGATACAAATTTTACATTATATGGCAGTTATGCCTACAGCTGGCCCATTTTGTAAAATAGGACCCTGCGTTGTAGCTGACCACACAGGGAGTGGAGACACAGGATCTGCATCGTAGCTTCCGCAAGTTCTGAACGGAGAGCTTGTTTTTTTATAGTTTAAGTAAAGGTTTTACAGTGCTCGCAATAGCATAAGAGCGCCAGAAGATTACAGGTGTTATAAGAGAGTAACAAACAGAAAAAAGAAGAAGGGGGAGATAAAGACGACAGATGTTTCACAGGAAAAAAGAAGAAGGGGGAGATAAAGACGACAGATGTTTCACAGGAAAAAAGAAGCAAACCACACCAGAGCACCCACCAACCACCCACTAAACAGAGAGTTGTGGTGGAGCTTCAGCCAAAGATCATTCACGTGGGGCCATCACTTAATTAGGGCCCGTCGACAAAACTCACGGTTTTATGAACGTAGCAGCCAGTTGACACAAGAGTACTCACTTGCTGTTTTTCCGTTTCCCTCTGCTCCCGAGTTTCATTCATTTTGGCCAGTTTGCTCTTGAGTTCTCTCTGCCTGTTCACCACACTGTCATACTCTCCTCTTGATCGCTCCTGAAAATGAATACAAACAATTTAGTTCAGATTTAGTAGACGTTTTACGGCGCTCGCAACTGCACAAGGTCATACGAGTGCCAGAAGATTAGAGGTGTTACAAGAGAGTAACAAACATAAAAAAGAAGAAGGGGAGATAAAGACAATAAATGTTTGACAGGAAAGAAGGAGCAAACCACACCTGAGCACCTGACAACCACCCACAGACAATTTATACCATATACTCATACTCAAGAGGATTTTGTACACAGAGTTTTAATTTTAGTACAGGTTTTACGGCGCTCGCAACTGCATAAGGTCATATGAGCGCCAGAAGATTAGAGGAGTTACAATAGAGTAACAAACATAAAAAAGAATTAGGGGAGATAAGGACGATAGATGTTTGATAGGAAAGAAGAAGCAAACCACACCAGAGCACCCGCCAACCACCCACTCAAAAGAGTCTGTCAAAAAAGTTTAGGATTTTTAATGTGGGTGTTTTCACTCCCCCATCTACAAAATTTATATAAATAAGGAGACGAGTTTCCGACACTTGTCTATCAGAGCCAACCCAGGCAGAAACAGATACACCCCAGCAGAAAGATATGTGATGATAAAAATGTTTCCCACAATGTAACAGTGAAACACCTAACTGTTACATCACAGACATCAGTTATCTGTCAGGTATAACTAATCATTTAAAATCAAACAAGAGGGTAGAGAGAAGTCTGTCAATAATCACGTCACATCATGTGAAAAAACATCAGCTCATCACTTAGATATTACCCTAATTGGAAGCACATTCTAAAAGTATGTTGAGACGAACTTTTACAACAAAATGCAACACACATTCTGAATTTGTAACACTTTCACAAATTTCTACATATGGTCAAAATTATCTAAGATAGCCACACATTGTCAAGGAGAAAAACGGTTGCTTGACAAGTGGACATCTAGAACAGTGTAATTACAAGATTATTTTTTTAACTCAAAGGAGGAAGTGGGCATTGGTATAGGTGATTGTCTTGGACAGATGGCCTTAGAGTTGGTTCGATATTATAGACTGAAATGTCACGATGCTCCCTGTAAAACACATTGAAAGAAAACTTGGTGAATCGGTGAAGAAAAGAATGACAGTAAATTACACGTAATGTTAAAACAGAAAAAGAAAGCATGAAATTCCTTACTATATTCTGTTTCTCCTCATCTGCAAATGCCCTTCTGATCTCAGAGTGACGAGAAAAGTTGATGAAGGCACTTAAAATCCTTGAAGACCGCTGTGCAGCTGAAAATAGAAAAACAGTAAGTGAGCTGATAAAAGGACAATTATGCATTAAAAATAGTTCTTTTAAAAAGCAAAACCCATGAACAAAGTAATATTACAGGAATGCTCCCCAAACTATAAATAGCTAGATGAACTTGATCATTTCAAGAATTCTGACTTGATGGAATTGAGAGGTTTGAAGCAAAATGTTCAGCACAGTAGTTGTCAGTACAATAAGTGGGTTTAAAAAAAAAAACGTCACTCAACAAGCCAATTCTCACAAGTTAGAAGTGTTCTCCATCTAAAAAACTGACAATAACAAGTCCAGCTCCAGCTATTGTCCAGTGTTCAAGAGAGAAACGCAACCTCAGTGCTTTCTTGTCGTATCACCCTTTTTTTTTTAAATATTGAAATTGTGACTTCTTCTTAAACTCACTCTTTGTTACAAATTGTTTTCACTGTTTAAAAAAATGGAGGTACAACAAGAAAGCACTGAGTTCGCGAAACAAGTAACTGAAACTTTATAAATCTGATGCACTGCCTGTTGGATAATCTTAGTCTTCAAAGGGGCACCAAACCAAATTTCGCACAAACAATACTTACTGGGCGCTATGACATCTTCCACAGAAAAACTTTCAAAACCACAGCTGCACAAAACCCTCTGCCTGTGAAGTTGAAAGAAAATGGACAAATTGACTGAAATGTTCATGATAGTGCAAACACAAACAGTGCTGGAGGTAGATTACAGCAAGTCAGTTTTAATCTTAGTTTAAATTTTCATTTTATGGCACTTGCAACACAATTAGATACAAAAGAAGTTTTTTACCATCTAGTATAAGGCTACTGTCAGAATACATCAATGTGTACTGCAATTTTGAACATATTCATTTATCCATATATATATATAACTCTAAAGGTCTTGTGATAAATTCATGCACATGGTCGAATGATGCATCATCTAATGTGATATGTACATTATTGTCTGATGTCAGCTTTACTTTTATTTTCATATTGAATTTTAATGAGAGTAATACATAATTTAATTTCTATGTATACCTGCATGTGTGTTTTTAGTCATATACAGCCAATAAAAAAATGTCCCTCTGGGACAATAAAGTATTACCTTATCTTATAAGTGCCAAGTGCTAGATGTGGGACTAGCGAGTAAAATATAAAGAGAAGGAGGAGCAGAGATATAAGGATAACAGATTATTGGAAAGAACCCTGTAGAAAGCCATTCGGAACCAGAACACCCACCAACCACATCATGTCAGTTTGACAATGACCACTGAAAAGACTTAGCAGACCACATCATAGTTCCCAGCTACAAGCAGCTTATCCAGACTCCATCATTTTAGTAAAAAATAAAGATTAAAATGTAGACTATTGTTCAAGAATGTTAAACTGAATAGATACTTTCAAGAGAACTGGGTCAAAGATTGAGTAGATAAAAAACCAATGATTGACATAAACTGTTTCAACTTTTACTTGTGCGACTCCCAATATTCAACAAAAATTAACCGCATTAAGTGGCTTCTAAAACCTAAAATTAAAATAGCATAATTTTAGAAAATGAATTCACACAAACTTCTGAATTACTGTACCCTGAAGCATAGCGACATACTATGAAAAATAGGTAGATCCATTTTTAAAGACATAAATTGTCTCTTCAACGGAATGTTGCATAAATTATAGTACCTTCAAGAAAAAAATATAACTTTTCCCAAAAAATTAATAGAATCCAGAAACATGATTTAATTAATCATAAGTCACAAAGGTGCTTGAATTATACTGACATGCAGAGCGTAAAAGCCATCTGTGCAAACCCTTCTTCGTATAGCTCAGGGTGGGTAGTTCGCATCGGAAGAGTGCGGCACAAGGACTGAAGAAGAGGAAAAAATTGGAAGAATTTCAAAAGTAAACACCAGAAAATATCCTGTATCGATCATTACAACTGACACGTTACACTTCACTGCTTGTCAAAGACAAAAATAAGAAAGTGCTAACTTAAGACAAAAAGACTTTCACTTTTTTGCATTTACTTTAGTTTGAATAAATAAATACACCCATTCATACTGTTTTCTTTATCATCAACAAAGTCATTTTTGATTAAATATTATGTTGTAGTTTGTTAAATTTTAAAGTATCACATCATAATATAACCCAAAGTCAAAGCAGTCTCTTGATGAAAATGTCCACCAAAAAAACAAACAAACAAAGAGCAGAATTAGAATGCTGGCCAAGCATATAACATATATGCAGAAAATAAAGTCGAGATACCTGTGTTGCTTGCTCGATAGACCGCGAAGTCAGCCATTCAAATATTTGACCATAAATCTCTCTCCATCTCCTCGGCTGTTCACAGTTGAAAGAAAAAAACAATATAAATATATGTCAGTTATGACCGTTACTCAAGATGCAGAGAAGAGAATAAATACTTGATCATAATTCATAGTTTGAGTAAAAGAATCTGAATGTTTTCACTTTATTGAATATGGAGAAACAGGAAAAATCTAACCCTGACTAACGGTAGTAGGCGATTGCTGATCAGATCAGTTTGGGTTTTCTAAAGTAGAAAGGTATCAACAAATCATAAATGATATTTTCAAAACATGGTAATAAACAATATGCAAATGAAACCATACAAAATAAACAAAAGGTTAATATTAGAAACTGAGAAACAGATGATGAAACATGTCATCTTATTTTTATGAGAGAAAAAAAAATTGCATGCTGAGGGCATATTTGGTCATCTAACTTTCACAACTGGCTTATCAGACCATGAAGCCAACTGGTATTTAAAGAGTAAACTGAAGAGAAAATAAAACTCGTGGCACTGAGAAGTGACAACAAACAAATTAAATATAAATTAAGTACAGATTTGTATTGCATATCAAACTCCTGATAACTGACATTTTCTGCAAGACATGCAGATGTGTATTAGGTGATAAAACAAACAATTCCCTTACATCAGGTCTGCTCAAATCATTTTCATTCAGATTCACGTCAGATTCTCTGAAGGCAGCCAAAATCTCCGGGACTGGCAATAAGGGTGATTCGAAGTTCATGTTTCCTATGGAACGATAGAAAAGTATTAATCGTTCGTAAAACAGAATTTGTGTTCCAAACAAAATGAAGTAACACTTAAGAAAAATTAAACAGATTTATATCCATGTAACAAACGGACAATAAAAATTTATAAAATGTTTTTTTTTAAAGAAGAAAAAAACAATACTGTAACATAAAAGTCAATTGTAAAACACTCAGGTTCTGGCACAGGCGCATTATCAAAGATTTCTGTAAAACGATGATTGCAATTCAGAGAAGTGCAATAAAAGGAAATCAAATAGGCCAAGGTCTACACCTACACCTTCTCAGAACAGAGAAAATCTTTTACTATTCTCCCAGCCTTGCATAAAGTTGGTCCTGTGTTAACCCTGTCATATAGTCACAGTGCTTTTATAGCAGAAAGCTTCATCAAATCTCAGTTTGATTTTGATAAGTGAAGCATAGTGGTGAATTCAGGCGCTCCTCAAAATAATGAAATCGAAGATGCCGGCATTTTTCTGACCGTCTGGCAATTTTCGAATGTTCTTTTCTTTCTTTTTTTGGTCAACTCCTTTTATCTCCATTTAGAAACACATTTCTGTGTTGATTTTTTTAAAAATAATCTATTAACATTTGGTCACTTGGTGCAATAATGCGCTGGTGAAAATATCCGTTTCGGTCACCTGGTGCAGTTCTGCGCCAGGCCCGAGAAGCCCGCTGCAGTCGCTCTCCTGGCTGGGTGACCAGATGGGGTATTTTGTACTGCTGGCTGAGTGACTGGAAAGTGTTAAAGGCACAAAAAATGTTAAGGACCCTCAAGCTTTGAAAGTCACCATATTTTGACAACCATATTCTCGCTATTTACCCCTTAAGCCAGGTGCCCCCCACCTCCTTTAAAAGCAAATCTCGACTGTCATTTTTTGTTCAAAAGAGTGACAAATGAATAAAAGCTTTAATCTAAGATGACACCAATAACTCCCATCCAAAAAAGTGACACATATTGCATGGTTTGGTGTATGTTTAAAAGCAGTCAGGTTTTCTGGGTTGTTTTTTTTAACTCATGCACCCATCTCATGCATACGATTGATATAGTTTTCTAAAGTATTTTGTATGCTGAACACGAAATGGCCTTCATTTTGGCAATTAGGATTGATATTTACTTGAAAACAATTGATTTGCAAGGGTTTTAGTGTGCTCTAAAGCAAAAACTAAGGCGATTGTCAAGATTTCCGCGTTTAATTCCGATGTGCGCTTTTCAAAGCCTAAGGTATGTTTCGCTTTGGTGCATTTGGAGTTATGGTTAGGGTTAGGAGGGTCAGGGTTAGGGTTAGGGTTGAAGAGTTAGGGTCAGGGTTAGGGTTAGGGACCAAAGCGAAACATACCTTAGGCTTTGAAAAGCGCATATCGGAATTAAACGCGGAAATCTTGACAATCGCCAAAACTAAGGAAGTTTATCCCTCAAATCAATGCATCTGTAATCTGTGCGTGGGTGAATAAAAGGAAAATTTTTCAGGTTTTCTTTCATGGAGTAGCAAAAACTACTAGATCTAGATCTAGATATCTAGATCTACCATATCGGCACAATTTTTAAAAATCCTCTAAAATCAAAAGTATTTGATTTTGAGCAGGTTTAGAATCTAAAATATATGATAAGTTTGATGAAAGCAGCAGCAGCCAATCAGGAGGCTAAGTCTGTGCATTGATTATTTGTGTGTGTGACTGTGTATGTGTGTGTGTGTTGTAAGGGAGGGGGGGGTGCAACTGCTTAAATAAAATTATGCTTCTATTCCTCATTGGAGAACTGTTGCTGGTAGTGGTCAGCAGAATCTGCAGGAGTGAGAAAAAGAGCAAAGAGGTAACAGCAGCGCCAGCACAGTAGTTATTCTGGTTACTGAAAGTTACTGGTTGTAGTCCTTAGTCTGTGTCTACTTGATGTTTAGAGACAGCAATGTCAGTCAGAAGATCAGACCTGAGGAGAAGATGCATGAAGAATCACAGTCACACCACTCAGGGCCAGTAGACTGCAAAAAATACAATAATTCTAAAGTAAAGTGAAGCCAATGATAGATGGGGGTAGGGCAGGGGGCTGAGGCAGCCCTGAGGCTACTAGATCTATACTAGGGGTAAAAGGTCATCAGTCAGGACACAAACAAGAGTTCAAAGGATCCCAGATCAGGGCTCACCCAGAACAGATACATTGTGAACGAGCATCTAAATGGACAATTAAGAAGTGCTCCCGAGTTATTGTGCGGGTGTTAATAGTAATTATAATGTGTGTAGCCTAACCAAAAACTGACGTCACTCACTCTCACTGAACTGGAACGGGTCGCCAGGGCTTGGCACACTCAAGTCACACTGTGTGTGACACTATTTACACACTCTATTATAATTTTCAAATAGGTTATCTGCAGATTTTGCAAGTGTCTTGAACAACACATGACGATGACATATTTGCTACTGCGTCCCCTCTGAAAAAATTCAAGCATAATTCTCACCTTTGAACAGGACAGTGTTGAAAGAACGTCAAATCTAAAGTAAACAAATCATGTTTACAAACAAGCCTCTGTCCAGTGTGTTTGTGTCAACTTCCGTTTGAAAGTGGCGCTATCCGGAAGTACACATCTCGGCGTCATAGAATTAAAAATTCTGTTGGCACTTTTTCCACGGTTTTAATAAATACTTTTGTCTCACTTCATAAAGAGTGTAACTTCCCCAAAAATTTCATTTTATGAAAAAAATATTAAAAATTATTCTACTTATTTCTAAGACAGTTGACGAATAACAAAGAGTTAGACGGGATATTTGTTTCGACTCCATTACCCACATCCTTGGGCACTTTTTATAATGTGGAAACATGCTGGCCCAGATTTGTCAGTTTCTTGCTGTTGACTCAAGCTATTTTCCTCAAAATGAGCATATAATCATTGGTGATAGGTCTAATGAAGGTTGCTTCTTGGTACATTATTTCCTTAACTTGTGTGAGAAACAAAACAGACCAGTGTGCGTGATCGGATTATCTCAATCTTTCCATCATTACAACACGGTTGCCCACAAGCTTGGGACCAACCTACTTTCAGCTTGCGATGAGAACAAAAACCTTCATTTTATTGAAGGCCTAAAATTACTTGGTGGTTGTTTTGACGTTGTTTCGACTGATTCTGATATCTCCAAACCATTTCTAGAGTTTGTTAATGGTATTAGCACCCCACTTTTGCAATATATCCAATCGTCAGTTGATAAGTTAACCCAAATTGAGTGCCCTGTGGATAATGTCCATGGTCCTGTAGTAATTGTTGATGATTTATCTGTGCTTTTGACTGCTGGAGCCTCAGCTAAGGACATAATACTGCTCCTGAATGGGCTACGCCGCATAGTTTCATCTCAGAAAGTGAAGGGCTCGTTAATTACATTCTCAAGTCTTGAAAAAGAGGATGAGGAAATCGAGGAAGTCTGGGCATACATGTCACACATCAGTACTCTGAAAATTGAAGTTTCAGCTTTGAGCTCAGGTTTCTGCAAAGACGTACATGGTCAGGTGAGTTTATTGTGGGTGGGTTGATTGATAGGCCTACTATCCATTTTCCCAATGTTGGATATGTTGACTAGATAGGTCGTTTGGTTCTTAATTCATAATTATAAAGTGTAGTGGCAGCCTGGTGGTGGATTTTCTTGGTTTGGGCAGCTAAAATTGAGGTCTGCTAACCAAGTAAGATTACTGGGTTGGTTTTGAGCTTGTCTATAATCTATCATGTATGTCTATGATTGAGAATTAGAAAAGTTTGACCATTGATTGCGTATAATGTGCTCTTTTGATCCAACAGCATAAAGCCTTTATGTATGCAGATGTTTTCCTGTTTCAAAGTTTGGTCGTCGTGAAATGAAACATTTTGGACCAGCCAGGTATTGTTGTTTGCAGGACCAGTGTCACAGTGTGGGCCTCCTGTCCAATCCAGTGTCCATTCCTATTGAGATGCTGTGATCTTTCACAGTGGTTATACTGTGGGGTAAAAATAGGCCTGCTTATCGACATGGCCACCTCTATTCTCACCCGGGGTGAGAATAGTGCAGGCGAGTCTTTTGGCTATTCTCACCCGGTGCGCGTTCACCGTTATAGCCTAGATCTATTCTAGGCCAACAAATTTTGCGTTCACCCTAAACCACAGAATTCTACACTGTGATAACACAAAAATTGTAGAATTCTGTGCTGTGAACAAACGTTCCATTACAACTGTACTTGTAGCCTACTAAAAGCGTACAATTTTGTCTGTGGGCAGTGGAGAGAGTGAGAGAGAGAAAGAGAGAACAAAACAAAATGGCGACCCGCGTAGTTCGGCTCGATTCGAAAAGTTAAATAGCCGTAGCATCTTTGTAGACAACCAAATTAATTTACTTTTGTGTTTTAACATCATTTTTTAACTTTGTTTTGGTCAATTTGATCGTCCACACCGATAGACAGTATTCAGACAGAGAGAGAGAAGAGGGGAGGAGTAGATCTTGCGAGAACTTCCGGGCGGGTGAGAATAGCCACTTTCATGAGGTTTCTATCGACATCGTTGTCACGACACTGTTGGCCTCATTTTGCATTTCTGACCACACAGCAATTCTTGTCTCTTTTTGAGTCATGTTTTTGAATTCCAGTCATTTCGTCACACCGGTGCAGTCAAGACATCACAGTCATCTCGTCACACCACAAATCCACAAGGTTGGATGGAGACAATCATTTCGTAACACAATTGCGAACATCAAACGCGCATTGTCATGTCAATCGCAAATCACGATTTTTGGGGAGGGTTGGGGGGCTGTGTGTGGAAGGACGGGTGGGGGGCTGTGCGAGTCGTTGTGCCTACCTAATTAGCTACACGGTTCATTAATATGTAGGTTTATTGACAATATCGAGTCAAATCAACAAAGATTTTAAGTATTATTGATGAAAGGTGTGATTGCCAAGATCATAATATTAGTTCTGTTAAAAATAAATTAGCTATTTAAATGTATGGTACTGCAATTTTGCTAAAAGCTAGACCCTTACTTTCAAACAAAGCCTTACTTACTTTTTACCAGGCATTGTTTTTGCCTTATTTAAACTATTATTTAGCTATGGAACAGTTTGGACGAAGATTTAATTTACATTAATAATTTATTTAACTTCCAAAAAAGCTTTAAGCTAATCCTTGAAAACTCTACTAGCATATATAACAATTTTAGAGAGATAGCCTAAGGGAAGTCATTTCATCACACATATTATTTCGGGTGTGACGAAATGACTGGTTACCATGTTTTTCACTTGACTGCTGAATGCTGTAATGGTGCTGAAGCATTAGTTTGTCACTTACACAGATGCGCTTAGGAAAGAAAAACGTTTATCTGCTAGTTAAAACTGTCTTGAAAAGAAAGCAACACAATTTAGTTGTTTTTTTAAATAGTGGGGTCGAGCAGAAATAAGCACTGGTAATTTTTACGAATAACAGTTACAGAATAAATTATAAGCTCAATGTCTGGGGAATTGTATCCTAAAAATTATAAGAATCAGCCCTGTCTTTGTACAAAACATAGAGGGATATATTTCCGGTAACTAAATCATAACACTGGTTAGTCTATATTCCTATTTGCTCTGTAGTGGCTGGATATTTTCACGAGACCTAGATTGCCATCTTTTTTAGTTTTAATCTGGATTCGTTTCTATGCCTTGAATCCTGAATTCGGCATATGATTTTTTAATTACATTTCATTTGGTTTTAGGGCAAACTTTTACTTTGCTTAAAATTTGTTTGTTTTTAACATCTCATGTTTCAAGAATTGTGTTCAATGATAAGACAAGGTCTGTTATATAATAAGGTCATTTGCTTAACCTATTTAGCTAGATTTTTCCATAACCCTGCCCTAATCAGGTCTGCATCTTGTGTGAATATGAACAGATCTCTCTCAAACAAGAGCCAGTGTTGAAGATTGGGTTAGTGACATGGCTGGGGGAGACAGCATTGTAATGGTGGCAGTTTGTCTGACTTCATGGAGAAAATTGTTCAGATCAGTATGGTGAATTGTAGACGATGACCAACTCAAAATGAAGGTTTACTTCATGTTGAAGTAATTGCTGAAAATGTAAAACAAAAGAAAAAGGGGAAAAGATTTTCTTAAATCCAAGTCCATGCGAGCAGAGTTCCAGTTCTGTCATTGTTGTTCCATAAATGTATTGTGTGTGTTTTTCAAGCCCGTGTTTCTTTTTTTAAAGCTTGAAGTTCTTCTGTCTGTGTATGGCTTTAACTATTTACAATTTTACGTGTATCGTTTTTTTTTTAAAGATTGGAGTCGCTCAATCATTTCTTAATTTCACTCTGTGAATGTAAAACAATCATTTTTTTTAGCTCTTATTAAATTTCAGTCTCAGCGAGTAAGGTGACTATTAAAATTTAAATGTTTTGCACATTTCATGGAGATTTTGTGCAGTGTCTAATTGGATACAAAGTGTGGGGTGTACTAAATGGGCAGATATTTCAGAAGCTCACTTTTTATAATTCATATTTTCATAATCTTTTTGTGTATGGTGTTATGTTAGTACTCTTTGAATAGTAAAGCACCTGAGTTCTATGGTGTTTCTATAAAAGACGGTCACATTAAAGTAATGAACAGTTCAGAAGTATGAAAGGGTTTGAGCATGCCTTAGAATTAATGCAAAAGTTTTTATAGGCATGTTTATTTGGTCAAGATTTCGAAATATGAAATGAAATGGGATGCGCATACCTAAGTCCTTTATTTTTTTACTCAAGGGAAATTACAAGTGTTTTAAATTACATGGAAGTTAGTTCTGTAATTTCCGAGAATAACTGATTGAGGCTCCAGATTCTTCGAGCCTATTTCAAAAGACTAAGAATTCAGAGCATGAAAGAGGCCCATTTTCCTGTCACTTTAGACTATAATTTTTGTTCTAATTAAGATTCAGTAGTATCTTTTGTCTTGTTTGTGTTTCTCTCTTTAAAAGTCCGCTCCTGTAGTGTACCGTCTGCTCACGCAGGTTCATACACGTGTTTTAAGGGTTGGGTTGTTGTTTGGGTAGTCTTTACATACATTATTTTAGCTATCAGCATATTTAAGTTTAGCTGTTAATGTTTTAAAGTCCTCTAAGTGTTGCTAACAAGTAGTTTGGAAATTATATCATTTCACCTTATAAGTTTTTGGAAAAGTTTGAGAATGGGCAAACCAGGCAAATAAAGACTATTATAAATAAACCGTTATATTTTGAGAAAGTAGATTCATATAGAATAGGAAGTACTGTTCATTGTTGAAAGCATTGAAATGTTTGGGGATATTAAAAACAGGATGAACAAACCGAAAAAGTGACTCAAATTACAACCAGTAACATCGGTGGCAACACCACAGAACAAAATATTTGGCTGTCGATACTAGGAGGGGTGATTTTTTAAGAGTCGCAATTGTACGTTTGTTCATGTGCCATCACTCAAGCTGTGGGAGGGAAATAATTTATTCAGATGCCCAGACTATATTCTTAAACTTTCTTGATTTGAAGATGGTAGGACTGTTCCGGGGGGGGGGGTTGGTTTTAAGAAATCTTTTATAGGTAGTAGTGTGAGGGTTTTTTTCACCCTGTTTCTTTATAATCTGAGTCGTCACTTGTGTCTTATAAATGACAATTAACCAGGGCTCAGCTTTTGGGGTGTAATTACTGGTTTGTGTTCGGATTCAGTTGAAACAGTTGCCCTATCGAGCAAACACTCCCCCCCCCCCCCCCCCCCCCAAAAAAAAAAAAAAAGAAGAAAAACAACAACCCCAAAGCCTCTGGCATTTCTCAACAGTTTTTACACACTTCTGTCTTAATTGAACACAAAGTAAAGCCTGGAAAATCTAACACGTCCCTCTTTTTAGAAAGCACCTGAAATGACCTAACCCTGAAGCATTCGCTGCTATCATGTGTTTAAAGATGAAGCAGCTTTGTGTCAGAAAAGGAAATTATAGATCTGTCATTAGTCGCAAACAGATTGGAACATGAGTCCTCTCAATTTCGGTACGATTTATACCACCAGCAAACTGCCATATTTGAGACTGACTTACTATCTTTCATATATGTGTTGAAGTGGTGGTCAAAAATAGCGTTTGATGGGATGGAGTAGTGTGATCATTTGTTTGTTTCAGATTGAGCGCAGTGAATTTGGGCATTGTTTGGGATTTCACAGGCTACAGTCATGAAAGCTTGATTCGAGGCCTCTTTTTTTCTCTCTCTCTCTCATGTCTTTACTTCAAACAATTCATGTCAATGACATTTTTACACAGAGACGTAAGTCTTGTTATAAAAACCTTTAGACTTCTTACTGTGAAAAAGAGAGAAAAGGTGTATGAATAGTTTTTGTTTTTAGTATTTATATTTTTTAATGAAAGGAAATAGTACTTACACTTTCTGTCAATTACCAGGACTCAGAGCTTACAAGGAGTCTTTGATTCTAAGATACAGAAGTTTAGACCTCCATGTGGGTTAAAATCTCAAACTCTTTTAGGCCTATTGTATACCCACTAAATCAGTCTGCCAACAATTTTGGTTCTAAATTGGCCATTTCTTTATTTTGCAGATGAAAATTGAATGGCAAGATAGCTGCACAAAACCAAGGAAGTCCAACTCAAAGCACACCCAGTTTAAGCTGTCTGACAAAAGTGTTGATCTCTTCGCTTCTGGTATGTCCGCTGCTGTGCTCTAAAGCAGCACTGTGATTGTTTTGGAGGAACGGACAGACTTTTTGAATTAACGCCACAACTTTGGATTCTGGCATCATAGAGAAAGAAAAAACCTGCGTCGTTTTTGTTGAACGGTAAATCCACTTCTCTCTACTGATCTCGTGTTCTGAAGTGACTGTAACCTCACTGGTCGCACCTATTTATGCACGTAGCGTCTCAGGCATGTTTTGGAAGCCACCAGGCGAATCAATTAAACTCTGCTTTGTCTTGCACATCAATCAGCGTAGTCGTTGTTGTGCGGGTAAGTAGGTTTGGATAGAAGCACCATGTCATCGTCGTCTCCCTGGGACGCGTACTCGCAGCACACAGGGCTCACCTCCTCCCTGGAGCCCTATGCTCACCCTTTCTCCACCGACATGCGAAACCTGGCCGGAGGGACTGGAGCTCCTGGCATGAGCAGCCTGACAGGGGAGAGCATGCTCGGGTACCCCAAGTCCAGCGATTTGTCGGCTGCCGCAAATCTGAATCTGGCGTCTCCGTACGGTGCGTATGGGCAGTCGTATCCTGGGATGCCAGATCTAGGGTTCCCGGGCGCCTCCCTGAGGCCCAGCTCGGCGACTCACTCGCCCGTTGCTGCGGCAGCGGAAAACCTCCCAGCATCCTCCCCTCACGGACAGTATTCCGGCACACCCACCTCGGAGACCCAGTCGTCGTCTCCCGCCTTCTCCAACTCGACGTCTCTGTACACCCCGAGCACCATCTCCAGCAGCATTGCCTCCAGCCCCTACGCCCAGGCCTTTGGGAGCAGCAGCAGCTCTGCCGCCGAATCGGGTTCGAGGGGCCCGCACTTTTCGCCGTTCGCCCAGTCCTACGGGTACCCGATGTACGGCTACAACCAGGTGGGCGGTTTCCCGACTGCCAACTCTCTGGACGGGGTCAACCGCTACATGAGCGGCATCTCCTCGTCCCAGCTGATGCAATCCTCGGCCATGGGCCTCTACTCCAACAGCCAGGCGGGCCAGATGCCGTTCGCCTACCACCCCTCCATGGGGTGGAGCCCCAGTGCTATCCCAGGGTTCCAGTTGAAGGAGGGAGCAGATCTCATGTCGCCGGAAGAGCTGGAGCGCTACCGCTACCGCCAGCTGTCCAACCCGTACTTCCCGGGCCTGCCGCCCGGGGGCCCGCCCGGACGGAACTTTCCCCCCCACCCCTTACAGCAGGGTATGATGAGGAGCGGCCCGTTCCTGGACGACCGCGTGCACAGCCCTGCTCCAAAGAAACCCAAGAAATCCACAGAGGAGGCGGAACGGCCCCCGACGCCAGCCCCAAGGGATCCCGCGTCGTTTCACTCGCAGAGAGGTATCTACTTGTTCACATCCAACTCCGAGCCGGGAAACCCCAAGTTTTATGGTGACAGATACGTTCTTTACGAGAAAGATTTGTGTGAAAAGCTGTCTCGTGTTAGCCTTCCGGGGAAAATCCAGTATGTTTACAATCCTCTTGAGTATGCATTTGAATCCCATTTAAAGTTTGTGCGCCGGTTTTGCACTGGGGAGAAATACATATTGTTTGTTGGGATGAATCCAGGACCTTTTGGTATGTCTCAAAATGGTGTACCGTTTGGAGAATGTCAAATTGTGAAAGAGTGGTTGCAGATTGATGGGGAAGTATTGAAGCCTGTATTGGAGCACCCGAAGCGACGTGTCGTCGGGCTGGATTGTTCTCGGTCCGAGGTCACCGGGGGGCGGTTCTGGCAACTGTTCCGAACTCTTTGTCACACTCCAGAACATTTCTTCAGGACAAGCTATGTGCACAATCTATGTCCTTTTGCCTTTTTAACGGACACTGGTAAAAACGTCACCCCTCCTCAGTTAACGTCGTCTGTTTTAGACCAGATCAACGCGTTGTGTAACGCCACTCTGGTCGAAGTTGTCCGGCTACTAAAATGCAAGTACGTCATATGCATTGGGAAGTATGCCCTGGCCCAGGCTCAGAAAGCATTATCTGCCGACGAATTCAGTGGCATCACCTTGGAATGTTTGATGCACCCCAGCCCCATCAACCCTGCTGCGAACAAGGGCTGGGCGGATATAGCCATCAAACAGTTAACGGAAATAGGTATCATTGAAATCATTCAGTACGGAAGGGTGCCCTACCAGCCTCAGAGCCAGCCTCCCCCTTCCTTGTCTCACCCACCTCACGCCTCTTCCTCATCCTCCATGAGTCACCATCCGCATCACCACCACCCTTACCACAACAAGCAATCTCCGGGTCACTACGGATTTCAGTCACCTCCCGTTCAGTCATATCACCACTCGCCAGCTCAAGGGTCCAACAACAACCACCACGGCCAGTCTCCGGCGCACGCTTCCGGCCTGAGTCAGTCCCCGGCTCACGCCCCGTCTGCGCGGAACCAGTCATCGCCTGCCCACGCCTCGTCCCGCGCTCAGTCATCCCCGGCACATTCATCCTGTAGTCAGTCTCCGGCCCAGCCCCAGCAGAACCAGGTGGCGGCCGCCAACCAGTCCCCCAGTCAGACCACAGGTAGCGGCAGCAGCAGCAGCACCCTTCCAGGACAGCCGTCCTCAGAGCAACTGCAGGACGGGCAAAAACTTTTGAACAAAGACAATGGGGAGAAGGGGGGCTCGCAGGACTCCTCTCTAGACTCGTCTGCCGCGGCCGCAGAGAAGACTCAGGAGGGCAAGGGCTTGCCCCAGCTGAACACAAACGGCATTCCAGCATATTCAGGGGATTCACAAGGTCATGAAAACGGGTTGCAGAACCCTCACAGCGAGCCCGGCTCGCAGGGATCGGAGGTGTCCAAGGGCAACTCTCCCAGTATACAGTATCCTTCCGCAGGAAATCCACAAGTGAACGCAACAGACTCTCAGCTGCAAAACCCCCAGATGAGCTCTGCGAACCCCCAGATGACCAGCAGTAGCCAGATGAACACGACAAATCCGCAGATGCACATGCCCCTGGGCTCGGGCCACCCCCACATGGGCATCGGCATGTCCATGTCGGACTCGCCAAACCTCCAGCAAGGCGCTCCGGTGGACCAGCACGCCAGCCTGACCAACCAGCAGATCGGCTCGCCGCAGATGAGCAGCCAGAACTCGCACCTGGGTGTGTCCCAGAACTCGCACCTGGGCTCCATGAACTCCCACATGGCCTCCTCCATGGGGGCGCACATGGGCATGGGCTCGCAGATGGGGATGGGCGTCGGGGTGCCGATGGGCCGGGACCAGGGGATGAGCCTCCACGGCCAGATGGGCTCCATCAACCCCTACAGCCAGCAGCAGCTGGACATGTCCCAGATGAGCGGCAGTTACGGCGCCGGCCCCAACAGCATGTCCCTCAACAGCTACTCGGGCATGCGGCCCAGCAGCTCGGAGATGCCGGGCTACGCGGCCTCCCACATGGGCCTGCAGAACCCGTCGGCCATGGGCATGGCCTCGATGAGCAGCATGCACTCGTCGGCCGGCGGTGGTGGGCCCATGTCCGCGCAGCAGCTGGGCATGTTCAACCCGCACATGAGCCGCATGATGGGCCCGCCGGAGCAGCAGATGGGCATGCACGCCGGCCTCAGCTCCATGTACGACAGCGGCCAGCTGGGCAAGGAGATACCGCCCTACGGAGGCCACTACACCGATAAGCCGCCCGAGTGCAGTTAGTCGCGGCTGGTGGTGGTGGTGGTGGTAGGAGGTGTGACGCCGCGCAACCTAGTGGGGTTTGTTTTGTTTTTCTTTTCTTTCTCTTTAAAAAATTTTTTTTTTAGAAAGAGTTTTGTTGGCTTGGGGACATGCATGTTATTCATATTTGGTTGCTTGTTTGTATTGTTATGAATTGTTGTGTTTTGGGGTCTTTTCTTTATTTTTTCTTTCTTTTTTTTTTTTTTCTTTCTTTGTTTTGTTTTTGTTCAAAGTTCCATGATTTAGTGTCAGAAGGTTCAGGAAGTGAAGAATCCATGTGACAGATCAGAAAATTCCTCGCACACATCACTTTCATCTCATGATTTTATTTTAACCTTAGTTGTCTCTGGTCCACTGATATTTTTGTCGCATTGTTTTATCTTCGAAAAGGATGTCATCTTTCTCTTTGTATGAAAATGTTTTTAGACCCATTTACCTTGATGGGGGTCCTTATTTTATTTTTAGGGACGATAAGTATCATCATCTGAAGGTAATGCTTTAACTTTTATGTCATTTGTATATATTGTAAAATGTATAGTCAGTATAGTTATTGATGGTAAGATGTATTTTTATAGAATTATCTACGTATTGGTCTCATGAAAGAAATATTTTGTAATGTGTAGATAACATATTCCTACAATTTGTTTCATGAAGCAATGCTTAATATACCTTGTCAACAAAGTGTACTGAGTGTAAGTGTATGCGTACACTTATTATATATTATGTGAGAGGGAGTGTTTGATTATGATGTCTTGACGTTGTTGTTGAATGGTTCGACGTTGGTTGTTTGGAATATATATTATATATATATATACAATACTTTGGTTGTCTCTTGCTATGTTCCTGTTTGTTTGAATGCCTGTCCTTTCAAGACTGCAGAGCAGAATTAGTTTCTGTACCCCTAAACGCTGGACCAGAAGCATCACTGCATCTTCACTGGACACGACGTTCAGATTCAAAATCTTCGTGTTTACACACCAACCAAACTCAGTCTTCCGCTACTAATTTACTAGGGATGATGTGTGTGTGTGTGTTTTTATCTAGGTTCTGTTCCAACGTCCTCCGCACAGACACCCCCAGTTGTCTGCTCCCTCTCCAACAATGTCTTTTTTGTATATTTTGTACCTGGTTGTTCATTCGTTGTTTCAGAACTTTTTTTTGACAAGGGTATTGTTTGCTGAAGAGTGTATGTTGTACTTGCAGAGCGGCAGTGATGTGGCAGAATTGTGCGTGTGAGAGAGAAGAGGATACAGCACACTAAAATGAGGACAAAAGTTGGAAAAATATATCACTCTGGTCAGAGTGCGGGATATTTTTAGCACATTTTTAAAATTTGATTTATTTGGGGTAAGGGAGGGGAGGGGGGTGCTTTGCTGATTTTTGAGTCTGAAATATGTTGAAACAGTCTTTTAAAAGATTTTTCTGGTATTTCTATGCGGCACTCTTTTATGAAACCCTCTTTTTTTTTTCATCTTAAAGTTAATGGTTAAACCAATCTTTTTGTCGTGCACAGGATTTCCTATTTTCAGTCTACGGCAAAATACCTTGTAACGGACATGAATCGTTACTTATATTACTCCTCTTCCTTTGCTGCTGCGATCTTGCAGTTCATTTATAAATTAGGATATTATATATAAAAGTTGTTCAAATTATTTGTTTTATTTGGCTAAAAATATTGCTGTTATCGCTGTCAATGCAAGTTGTGAGATTTTTATGATTGAGAGAAATGAATGGTCATGACTGCGTGTGAGTAGAGATCTCTCCACATGTTGCAACGGCAGCGGGAATCACAAAGATTTTTAAGCCTGACAAATTCTTTATATGAACAGAAAGATATTGATTTTTTTGTTGTGCACAAATGGAAGTGACAGTGCTATATTGGGGGCATTTTACATTTTATTCAAGAAAGTTCAGCTCTAGTCCACGCTTTCTTCAAAACCTACTTTTCTTTGTTTGTTTGGGTTTTTTTGTTTGTTTGTTGCTGTTTTTTTGCTTTTTTAATCCCATGCTTTACTGTATGACACCATTTTTGTCTTATGTTTTCCTTTCTTTTTCATGATTGTCTTCCTGGCTGGTCCGCTCTTCTAAACTACCGTTACAACCACATAATGTAATTTGCAAATTTACATGCTAGTGAAAGTTTTTGCCACTGATGTAGATTTGTCAGGTTCGGTTTGGTGAGAGTTTGATGGCCCGGTTACACGTAACGATAAATTGTGTCAAATTCGTCGTGTGCGAAAACTATCCGTTTTATCGACTGTGTAGTCTGTTTAGACGTTCGGATCTGTCGTCCAGTTTTCTTTTGATCAGGGAGATTCCTAGTAATTGACTTGGCTGCAGATGTGCAACGCACCGGGTGACCTTGATACACAACTTCACCATTGATGATCAACTGAATAATAAAAATGGTAAATTGTACATAATTACGCATCAAATCAGGTTCCTGGAGAGCAACCTTACTTAGTTTGAGACGCTGTTTCCGAATATGAAATCAGTTTTACCTGCGATAAATATTTTTAAATTTTGAGCCCTAAGTTAATCCAGCGCAGCGGCAAATTTCCAAGTGATTCTACATCACAGCGTGTCTCCCCCAAAACTGACAGTGATCGCACGGAAAATATCTAGCAGCGCTTGATTTCTCAACCGAGTCTTCAAGCCATCGTCCAAGCTTTGTACAATTTTGTGCTTACACCTGATGATTTGTCTCATGATCGATAGATCATCCAGTTTTTGTACAATTTATTGTTGCGTGTAACCGGGGCTTTACTGCGCTCGTAAGTTAACTGCATAAGGTCATATATGAGGGGGCATGGTAGATTTGTCAGTCTGCAAATCTTTTCCAATATTTAAATTTCTTTAGCGGCAACAGTTTCATTTGAATTCGGAGTGTAGCTTTCCTTGCATTCCTTTTTTAAAATAGGGTAGGGTACAGTTTTTCTGCCTTTTGTGATATTTATATGTTCGAGCTATTCAGTTTCAGGAATTTTTTTTCCTCTGAAAATGAAAGTTCATGTATGTCCCCGCTACCCATCTTTTCCTTCCCCTTGGTACTCGCTGGTCCTGGGTGCTGGGTTTCCCTTAACCTTATTGTCACCGTCTCTTGATACGTGTGGTCATAGGCTGCTCCCGTCACTGCTTTTTTTTGCTGTACACAGCTGCACGCGTTCGAGAGTTCGAGTCTGTCGTTAAGCCCAGGTGGCAAGACTAGCTGTTCTTCAACTCTGAATAGTGCTCATCCTGTAATAAATAATGGTTAGTAATATAGTGATGCATAGCCATCCATCAATTTCTGATGTCGACCTATGTATCTGTAGAGGAGAATATTTCTGAAAGAGAAATAGAAGAATCAAGAGTTAGTTAAGATGACTTTTTGTCTTCTGGTGTTGCCAGTGAGACCACTTCTGGTAGGGGAGAGTGCTCTCTGTAGTCTTTGTGAAGCTTCCCCCTTTTCTCGTGTCTGCTAGAGAGTTGGATAATATATATAATGCAGGGCGGTTGGGTAAGTGAATATTGATTATTATATATATACTTTTCGCTGTTCAGAACCTTGTGTGTGTTGGGAGGAGGGGTGGTGGTTATAAACTTTAATAACAGCCGGGTTCGAAGTTGTTCAGGGCTGGTTCATTTTTTTCATTGTCTTCAGTGTAAAGCTCACGAAGAGAGTCTAGTTGAAATGTAGCTCAGAAGATGAGAGTGATCAAATTCCTTTTTATTTTTGATTAATGATTGGGATTTGGGGGGGGGGGGAACAAATTAATGTGCTGGCAAATGTAGCATCTTTTAAATTTTCCTGTAGACCTTGATGGCAGTTTGAGTTTTGGTTTCTGTGCTAGAATCCAGTGGCTCAACTGACTTTTTGAAAAGAAGCAGCTGATCTGTTTTGCACCGGGTACGCATATATTATTATACCTTTTCTTTGTCAACTTCCTTACAGAACCATCGTGTTGTTTATGTTTATGATTCCATTTTTTCCCCCCCCCAGTGTTTTGATGCATTATTTTACCTCTCTTTGAATCTCAGTTGGAAAAAGAGTTGTTTTTTTTTTTTTTACAAAGCAAAAATGTGTCTTCTATTAGAAAGAAGCCCATTTGGTGCTTACTGTCTCACCAGCAAACTATTATAATTACCCTGCGAGCAGCTGAATCCACAGCTTTACTCAGTGCTAACCCGAATTATGTGTGCAGTTCTGTATTATGTGAGCTGTACTGAATTATATGTCCTGTACTGTATTATGTGTGCTGTGCTGTATGTGCCAATATTGTCATGTTCATCGTGTGTGTGTCTTCACACATGGTATAGTATAGAGAGAGAGGGATGAGCGAGAGTCGGGGAAAATTTGAAACGTTGCGTCGGGATACTTGAAATATTTTGATGACTTATTGATGTGTACGATGGTTGAAAACATGGGAACAAGAGTTTATAATGTGAAAGAACTCCTGAATGTTCACTGCCGTGTGCGTCATTCCTGGACTTCAGTCTTCTCTCTCAATGTTAAGTGTTACACGAGTTCAGCAGTGAGAATCTTTTCGGTGTTCCTGGGTTTCCTCAGAGCAGGCCTACTCTGTGCTTGAGTTTGTCGTGTGGTGTTGTGAGGTGTGGAGAGAAAAAAGTGAGGCTTGTTGTGCAATGCGTTTGTGAGGAAACGACGTGACTTTGTTGGTACGAACTGAAAGGGGGGGAAAAACCAAACTGTTTGACATTGTGCCTGTAGCGTTCTTGAACTGAATGCGAAGAAGCACCAGTACCAATAATGTATGCGTGTTGTGTTCTCCGATGATGATTCATGATGACCGCCTGTTTCTGCTCTGTTCAGAGATTTGTGTTTTCTGTGGCTTGCTAATTTGTGACGGCAAGTTGGCAGTATAATCAAAGAATTGTGCGTCTTTTCGTGTGGAAAAACCAAAGCTACTGGCTCAATGGAAAGTATTAAAAGAAAATGGTGAGGTCTTAGTTTTCTCCTCTCCTGTGGATTGAAAACACTGTTTTAGTGTGTGTCTGTGAAGGTTTGATGGTGACTTTTTGTCATAGCTGTCTCAAATGAAATTATTTTTTATAGAATTGCAAAGTTTGATTTTGCGTTTGTTGGTTGTTGGGTTGTTTTTTCAAAAGTGTGCTTCTGAACCTGACATGGAGTTGAAAGGAAGCCCTCGAAAGGGAAACTTTCTTTCCATCTTTGAGCTCCGATTTCAGCAACTGTTTGGAGTTACCAAATTTTTTCCCCTAATCGTTCTGCTATTCTTATGTTCTGAAGTTTGAATATGAAGGCCATGGGTGTCGGAGCTATGTGTCTTAGTATTTCATGCTCTTTAGTATTTCGGGTGTTCTGTCATCTCCATCTTGAGTTTGGAACATTGGATGTAGTTTTGACTATTTTTTAAAGATCGCCAAGATCCATCGTTTGTTGCAGGGCTTGTACATTGGGCATTCAGGAAAAAGTCTTCAAGTGGGTTCTAGTAACGCTTTGTCGTGAGAAGCAGAATTTTTTTGTATGAGCTTGCTTTACCACTTATTGTTTCCTTTGACTTTGAATTTGATTTTGATAAAGTCGTCTGATGGAAGATAGCGCTTAAGTTTTTTGGGTGTCCAAAAAGCAAAGTGTCTTTGCTTACGTGTTCTACCAGTGCACGTTTACTTGTGTTGACCATGGTGGTTGATATTGTACACGTTTTATCCTTGTGCATGTGTACGGCATCACTGGTTGTAGATGAAGATGTCGTCAGTGAAGCGTCTGTACTTGGATATATCAATAAATAAGTCGTAGTTCCTTGGGTTGGACATTGATTGAGAGAGGGCTTGGTCTTTACTGATGAAAAGAATAATTTCTTTATGATTGACAAAAGTAGTTTCGAAGGTGGAAGACATTGATCTATCCTCTCAACAAATCTCCAAGCCAGTAGAAAGTGTTTCGTAAAAGATAAGAAACGTATAAACTCCATCCGAATTTGCATACAGCAGACCTCTAGAAGGCTATATATCTGTGTGTTTGAAAACTTTGCATCCGATTACTCCAAGGTGGATTTTTTTTTTTTTAAATTGTTTTTTAAGAAAGTGAAATGAGCAAGTAAATACTTAGATACTCTTGTGAAATGAATCAAATGATGATTACTGGTTGGATAAAACGTCCCCTTTCGCTTGTAATTTATAATATTATTTCCTTCAGCGGTGTTTCGAAATTGACACAAAAGATCGAGGCGAAGCACACCATTCGTTTTTGCAACTATGAGGAATTGAGCGGGGACACAATTACGGCAGTCAGCATTTGACGGCAAACGGTTGTTGTGTTGTTTTTATGTGTGAACTTTACACTGGAAGGTTGACGGGATTTACAATTCTACGTTGTTGGGGATCATGATAAATTGTGAAAACATCTGTCTCCTTCATACAGAATGCAGAAGCGTATTATGTTGATGTAGAAACGAGAATACTTTATTTGAAGTTATGGTTGTTTCCAAAAAAGAGATGAAGCTTTATTTTTTCAACAATATTTTGTACTTGCTTTCTTGCAAATTGTTTGCTCTCATTCACTCCTTTCCACCTTGCGCCTGGGTTTTGCTTTTGTTTTGTATTTGTTTTTTGGGTTGTTGTTTTTTTTTCTTGTTCAGTATGGATTGGTTGTTATGGCGGAAAAAATATTTCTAAAATCAAGTTATGATAATTAGGACATTCATTTTCAAAGACATTTTTGGGGTGTTTATTTCAAGACGTTGATTTAAATTTCCCTGCTTGTGCAGATTAACTTTTGTTTTAGTCTAGTGGTATCCAGACTACTGTAGGAGAATATAAATGCAGACTTTTATGGGTAAGTTTAAGATTTGTGAAATCTACTTCTGGTTAATAATGGAATAATGTCCAACACTGTGGAGAATTAAAACAGCCCAGCATCTATGGAGGGGTCTAGTGAAATCAGGCATTCTTCTCTCTAAAGTATTGCGTATGGACTCGTTTCAAGTTGTAGTGCGTAGTAGCATTAGATACACTTTTCTTTTCCTCTATCGTTAGATATTTGGTTTCAACTTGAGAGTGAAGTTGTTGCTCGATTGTAGATGAATAAATTCCATTTTGTTATACAAAGGCATTGAAAAAATTATATGCATCAATATAATATACTTGGTTTTTATAACAATTATACTCCAGTTTATTAAATTAATGTTTTTTCGCCCCCCCACTCAAATTCCAACGATGAATGTTTTTCTTTATGATGGCGTGTTTTAATTAAGCTTTGCTCTATTGGATTGACAGTGTGGACGAATGTTGTGTTGGGTTTCTGTTGTTGTAGTTGTTGTTGAGACTTTGCCTCCACTCCACGCGTCGAGGGAGTCTGCGGGGCGACAAAGTGGCGTTGGGTCTCAACTGTTTGCATTGCCTGGTTCGTTGCCGTGTATCAAAAGTTGTCATGTGAGAAGCGACGAGTATGACGACAGAAGAGCTTTGTTATGATGATTAGCCTGCTCAAGAGTAGATTTCTATCTCTACCTCACCCCCCCACCTCAGCTTGAGCTTCATTTTGTCATTCCCTCCTTCATCCTTTTATTATGATTATAATTATTATTACTATAACAATTACTACTATTACAATAATTATTATTCTTTTTGAAAGGAAAAATCAGTATGTGTGTAGGTTCTTGTCCACAGCCCTTCTTTTGTTGAAAAAAGCCCTTATATGCAAAGTGAAGTGATACGTTATTCTATTTTAATTTTTCGTTTGCAAGCAATATGTAACATGAAGTAATATTTATGTACTTAAAAAAAAAAAATTTTTGTCAGCGCACTTCGTTGTTTCGTCTAAAGTTGAATGAAGGAAAGATGTATTTTTTGCAGGTTTCTGCAAAACTTATCGTGTTTCATGAATTTTCTTTTTTTTTTTTTTTGGTGGATTTTTTTTTCCTTTCAATTTTTAAAAGAAATGAGTGTTTTACAGACATTATTATTATTATTATTATTATTATTATAATTGTACATAAAATGCTTACTTGGTAATGACTATATTCAGTATGCTATATGCTAGGAATACATGATGTTTCTGTGTCTAGCGGGGCGGGGTGTGTGCTCCTGCGTGTTTGTTGCTGGGGGCCTGCTCTCCTCCCCCGCGGCGCGACCAGCACGGACACCTTCATTTGTTCATGCAATATGTGTACATGTAGTCTCTCCTCTCGAGATCTCGAGAACAGTGTCGGGTGACTTTTGTTGTGGAAATTTCTCTCGTGGAGAAAACTTACACATTGGTCTTTGTGACATGTATTTTTACAACAATGCGTTTCTTCCCACCCCTCCCCTCCTCCTCATTGTCCTCATCCCCCCCCCCCCCCCTCCTTCACTCACTCCTTGGACAACTGTCCTCACTCCCAACCTCCTATTTGATTTCTCAAAGTTCAGTGTGCAAGCTTTTGCTACGAACGTGTACATATACTGGTCTGCTGTTATTTGAATGCAATTTGATGTTGTTTCATGTGGTTTTGACTTTTTAGTTTATTTCTTTCTTTTCTCTTTTTTTTTCTTTTTTTTTTTTTTTTTGAAAATGTACATTGCATTACATCAGGGGTTTTAGTGGTTGTATATTGACGTTTATCTTCATATTTTTTTGTTTGTATGTTTTTGTTTTGTTTGTTCTTTTCTTCTTTTTTTTTTTTTTTGGTCATATTTGATTGAAATTCCATTTTACATTATACAAAATGTATCTTTTGAACAATGCAGCATGATGATTGCTAAACAAAGATAAAAAAAACGATCTGGTATGTAAATAGCTTTCCTCCTTTTGTCGTATTGTATTGCATTCTGACTGGATTTTAGTTTTCCGTTTGGAAGCTATGTGCCCACCACCAATGATGTCAGCTTTTGTTTTTCTCTGTAGGGTTTGTTGTACAAGAAACTTGTAATGTAACCATTGACAAAATATGTTCTCGTGACCTCTCCATGCTTAGGGTTTGTGAAGTTGTCCGTCTATAATTCATGCTAAAACTGATGATACGTGCACTTTTTATGATTTTTGAACTTACATTCTTCAGTTGTCATCTCTAGTACTGATCAATAGATTGTAAAACCATAAGATAATATACACCAATATTCATCATTGTATTACGTTGAATGCTTGTGATTTATGTGATTTGTTTTACACGTAGTACCATCTGTGTGTGATCCATTCTGATCAGTGTATCCATGAATATTGACAGCTGTGGAAATTAGGGAGGGGGGGGAGCGGTGCGAAACCAACGGAATACTATTTAAAAAATTTTTTTTTTTAGCATCATGTTCAGTCACTGTTAAGGTATCTTTTTTTTTTTAACACGATCTGTCTGCACAAAGTGAAGTCTCCGGCCTGCCTTGAGATCTAGACTACCGCAGCCTGCCACGTTGCCCTCGGTGTTTTCTATAAATAAACGAACATCTTAATTGTCTGCTCGTGTACCGGTATAAGAAGACAATGTTGTTGTTGTTGTTGTCGCTGAATTTGTTGTTTCTTGCGCAATGAGAGATCAGCAGATACTGCCGCATGAAAGATGGGTACATTTCTACTTTTTGTAGTGTGAGAACAAGGGTCCCCCTCCCACCTCGTCGTCGTCCTCCTCCTCCTCCTCCTCTCACGCAGAGTAAAGACAGTAACATTTTTACCACATTCTCTCTCATTGCTTGGATTTTCAGGGCTGGCATTACTACTACTACTACTACTAGTGAAACGAAGCAGGGTCATGCCTTCAGCATTATTCTTCTCATCATGTGTAATAATACTTTCTGTAGATTTTTTAACATGCACAAACATGTTTGTTTGCATATCATCGTTGCCCTGCTAAAAGGTTCAATATTACATACATGCTAAATGGTTAGTCAAAATGGATGCAGTGATCAGAACATGGCGCAGGGAGTGTGAAGTCGGTCCTCCTCTCTCTTCTCCCCCCCCCCCCCAATGTTTACTTTTAGTTCTAGACCTGCCGTTTGTCTTTAGTTCCGTGTGCGTTTGTTTGTGCGTAAATGATTGAATGAGGCAGCAGAAAAAAATCTACTACGTGTTCTACTTAACAAACCACTTTGATTGAACTAACCAGAATGATTATATAAATGATGAGAAACCTTTGTGCGCGCTCCCGAGTCGTGGCGTTTTCGGGTGAGAAGAATCAGGGAGCAACTGAATAAGCGGGATGCTTGCGTTGCAATTAAAACTAACAAATTTATTATGATCCCCCCTCCGTTCCCTCCTTTATTGGAGCTCAGGGTAGTTGACAATCTGTAGCGTCCCCACGTCATGTTTTCCCCTCTCCCTCCTTCCCTCCCTCCTCCAGGGAAGTGGCATGCTGGTTCCAAAGATTAAAATGTCCTAAATCGGTCCCTGTGGTTTTATGTGCAAAAATAAACAGGAAATTCTGCAAACTGAGCCCAAAAATGTGAAATTATGCAATTCTGTTAATTTTAACAAAGAATGATAAAGGAAAATAATAAGAAATTATGAACAAAAATAATCAATTTTGGTTAAATTATGCGGGGTGCATAAGACCCCGGGGACAGCTAAATACACGAGCAATGTTTTCTGTTTGTGGAAATGAAGATAAAAGCCAAAGGTCAGGCGGTTTGTAGAGTGCTCGTGTTGATTGTTAATTTTATAGTTTTGTCAAGTACGGTAGAGCTTTCCTCAGAAGTTATCATGTTTATTTTTAACCCCCAGTAAAATACATTTGATCAGAATAAACGTTTTGGTCCAGAAGGAGAGATAGGTATCAGTTTGGACCGTTATAATCACTATATATTTCTCAGCTTGCATAAGCCATGGCATTGGGTCTTTTCTAGTCGTGTTGGATATTTTATGAAGAGCCATCTGTCCCTTCCCATTCTTTGGAACGTTGAAACTGAAAAAAAAAAACAACCCTTGTCTCCTGAATTTCTGAAAAGAAATATATTTGTAACGAATCAGGTGTAGTTTATCAGTAAACTGGAACCACTGAGCATCACTAACAACAGCAAAGGGGGGAAAGTATGTCGAAGGACTCTTTAACAAATATCATGTCTTTTCAATTTTTTGGGGATTTCTGCGGTGTCTGGCTTACTTCTCACAAAAATATATGCAATTTTATTTTTCTGTGTTGGTTTTTTTTAAAAATCTCTAATGATATCCTTTCTAACCGCTCTTCTTAATAAGACTATTGTTGTATTTTGTTTATAACCACAAAGATAAAACTTTACATATTACCTCACCAATATAAAGATAAGAATTTGTTGGGTTTTTTTCTCTCAGTGGAAAGTATGTCCTAGTATCAAAAGCTGACGAGTGTGAGCCGTCAGTAGAAGAAGGATATGAAATACCTAGTGCTGCCATGCAGAACTTTGAAAAAGAAACTTATTTTTTTTAACCATGGTGTCAAAATTTTTTGGTTTAATTGGTCTGTCGTGTAAAATATTACAAGATTTAAAGTTAAATGTTTAAAGCAAGTTGAAGCAGAAGAGATGATCTAAATATAATTAAGCTGCTGCTAGTTAATGTTTGAGATAAGAATGAAGATGTGCTTGCTAGTCCTGTCTGGTCCTGCTGACAAGTTCCATTCCGAAACCCCCCCTGCTGTTGAGAAGTCTTCGCTCTCTCTGTGTATTTGTTGGTGACTGACTACAAGAAATTGTTTTGATATGAAGTGGTTAGGTTAGTCCAGTAGGCCACCTTGAAAACAAAAGTAAAAGTTTCATACGATAAATACATGTCGTGTGAGAGGTGGTAAAATAGGCAGGCTCAAGTTTTTAGAATTAAATTTGAAGGTAGTTGTTCCAAAACTGGTGTGTTTTACTTGGTAACACGAAAAATTAGAGACAAATTTTTCCTCAGAAAGGTTGTATTACTCCAGACCACTTTTTTTTTCCTTCTATTTATTGTTACTGTTGTAAAAATGTGTCGGGTGAAACTCTATCTGCAAGTCCTTGTGTATTGTGAGGGCAGTTTTCCCCTGATCCTCTGAGAATGACCTTATTGTGACCTTATTGAACTTTGGAAAAAAACACCTGACATTATTGATTGCTGTTAGTTGAAAGTTTCAGTAGGGCTCATTCATAAGCTGGTTTCTGTGAAACTGGTTTTTATTAATTTGAATTTAAAAATTTTTTTTTTTTTAACTTGAACGGTTGTTTAACAGCAGTACACTTCTGTCCCTTCCTTCCTTCCTTCCTTGCGGTTGCTTCCTGCTCATGCACCAATAATATTTTTTTTGTTGTGTTGTTTTTTTTAAAATTTGGGTTCACGTCTTCCATCGAAAGAAATATTGTTATTAGAGAGCGCGTGAAACTGGTTCCAATTTTTAACCGTTCAGTTTGGTGTCGAAGTCGAAGCATCTTTGGTTGTGGGTAGTTTTTCTTTGTTTTTTTCCCCCCCGCAGTGGTACAGCTACATTTTAAAAAAAATTGTTTTTAAAGTCTGGATGCTGTCTGGCTCGACTCTGACTGAAACATGAAATGGAGGGGAGTCAACACATGATGTATTTGTTCTCATCTCAAGTGGGGGGGGGGGGCTTTTGTTTTCGAATCTGACGTGCAGTTGGACACTTTGACAGTTTAGGGAACTTGCTTTCTGTGGTTTGTTTTGTTTTGTTTTTTTCTGGGATGCTCACCAGAGTTTGAAGTTTGGAAGGTGGGAAGGCTTTTATTAAATAGTTTTCTAATATATTTTTTTTAAAGCATTGAAAAATCATGTCTCTGATTAACGAGTAGGTGCCAACTGTGCTGAGTGAAAAAAAAACCAAAACTTGCTGTGGAACTGAAGAATGAAGATGGAGTGGCAATAGTTGGGTGGGTCATGCTTTGTTTGTCCTTCCAACTAGAGCCAATACTTTACAAACTAAATTGTGTACTAGCGAGCACAGACACATGCACACGGGCGCACACACACACTCACACACACACACACACACACACACACACAAAGAGCTTGAGCCTAGCTGATACTACGGTTGATTTCAATAACTATGAAAGATATGTTGTCCCAACGCACGGCCAAAGACCATGAAAACCATCCTCCTCTTTATATATAAAATATATATATATATTTCATTTCATATGGTATATTTTTCTGTTTTGGGTGGTAGGTGAAATCAGCACAAATGTCGTCCCTCCCTTCATCAGCTTTAGCAAAGTCTCGTCGTAAACATTATTCTGGTTTGACCTTTTGACCTCCCCCACGGTATCCATACCTAGTATTCTCAATGTGTTTTGTGTCGGGGGTAACAGCGATCTTGCATGCTGACTGTCATGCTTGTGTATGAAGAAGAAGAAGAAGACCACTGTTTGACCACAATATTCAGGCGAGGAGTATGTTCCAGTATCAAGTCTCTACCATTTGAATCATCAGTGTTTTGCAAACATACATATTCTCATTTCATTTCATTGAAACTACCAGTACTTATTTCATTTTGATGACAAATGAATGTTGTGGAAAAAAAATAAATGTAAATATTAGAATCCATCTTGTGTCTGTGTTGCTCGAGTTTCTGTTTTGTGCATGTACATTAACTTATTGAAGTGAAAGTATATTCTGTTGGCCTGCACTGTGGGTGTTGTGAGTGTCAAACGTGCAGATGGTTGGAGTGTGCCATTGGTAGATCCTACTTCTTAACTTTTCCCTCTTTTGTTTCTGTCTGTCCGTCTGTCTGTCTTACTTTTTCCCAGCATTAGTATTACTGTGAGTGGTTTGCTTCTTCTTTTCTATCAAACATCTATCGTTTTTGTCTCCCCTCCTTCTTTTTTGTGTAACACCTCTAATCTTCGGCACTTATATGACCTTATAATGTTGCAAGTGTCGGAAAACACTAAAACTTTTTAAAAATTAGTGTTACTATTAGATGACCATTATTGTGTCTATGTGTTTCTCTCTACTCTCTTTAGGCCTGTCCCAAAGGGGGGATGTTAACATTTTCTTATGCACAGTAGAATTGTAAATGGGCTGGTTTATCAATGTCATGCTCGTAGTGTGCCGGAACCACATGGGGGATCTGCTACTTTTTCTTTCCTCATCCTTTTTATCGTCATTTTCCCTCTACTTCTTTTGTATGTTTGTCACTTTCTTGTGAACTGTTATTTCCGGGGTGCCTTGATAGTTGAAGCAGACTTTGTGCTGTAGAGGCTAGAGAGGTGAGCAGAGTAAGCCAGATTCCCTGTTTGGACTTCTCTGTTGACACTCACCCCTTGGCGCTCATATATGACCTTATGCAGTTTGAGGGAAGTAAAACTTTACTAAAACAAAATCTCTCTACTCAGACCAGTGTCGAATCTAAACACCATATTTCATATTGATGGTGTCGTTGTGCTCCTGTGTGGTTTGCTCCTTCTTTCCCATCAAACATATATCATCTTTAAAAATCTCACCTCCTTTTCTTTGTACATTACAGAATACTCTCTAGGAACACCTCTAATCTGTCCTCAGAGAAAGTTGCATTTGAAAATAGCAAAAGTTGCAAGAAGAATTAAGCAAAAGTTGCAAGAAAAGTTGCAACACGTGAAAGCTAAGACAATGCCATGGAACTATTGGAATACATTGTTGCAATGCTCAGTGCAATCAAAAGTAACCTATCTAGGAGTTTTGTTAGATCAAAATCAGAAGTTAAATGTGAAAGTCTACCAACAACAAAAAAACTGCATGGAGGTTGCATGGTGTACAAAAACAGTTTGTCCTCTGAGGACAGTCTAATCTTCCATCCACACTAACAACTTTTGTGACACAATTGTGTTGGAAACACCTAAACAACCCAAGAATTACAAGAATGCCGCTTTGGGGACTCGAACCAAAGCCTCAGCTCCATTATCCGGCATGTTACCAACTGAGCAACAAAAGGTTACTGAAACAAACCAACCGTAAAACTGTATTCAGTGTTGAAAATATTTTATTCCAATAAGACTCAATTTAGGTCATTTAAAAGGCAGATATCTGTTTGCAAAAATTGGTACCTTGCAACTGGTACAGAAAAAACACTTGTGAAAGAAATGGATAAGTACCAACCTGTCCCTGTGGTTTTATGTACCCCTCATAATTTAGCTAAATTTGATCTTTTTTTGGGTATAATTTCAGATTATTTTCCTTTACCACTCTTTGTTAAAATCAACAGAATCGCATAATTTCACATTTTTGGGCTCAGTTTGCATAATTTCAGAATTTTTTTGGCATAAAACTGGGGGGGGGGGACAGACCAACAGACCCCATGTCCACCTTGATTTGTTACAAATACAACACTCAGTCACTTATGGTGTTTCAAGAAAACTGACATCATCATCATCATCATCATCAAGTGTTTGAGTTCGCTTAGCAAAATATTAACAATTACAACTTCTGTTCCAGCTGCACATGTTTGATCTGAAAACAGTGGTAGGCCTATTAACTCACTGAAGACTGAGGTCTTGCGAGGCACACAACCCCTGAAGACTGAGGTTTTTGGGGGTATTTTAAAAAATCATAACTTTTCTCAGAATTGTTCAATTGTTCTGACTTTTTCACATAAGTAAGAGACATTTGTGTTCTTTCAAATAAAACAAAATTGAATGCTGTATCTTTTATACTTTAATTCAGAAAAATGAATTTGTGAAAAGCACATGAATTTTGGTTCTCCTGAGAATTTTTTATAGAGCTTTACCCTTCCCTTTACTCACACCAAATCTACTTTCACTAAGTTACACTTTTACTAACAGAAATAATTATCACTGTCAGGGCTTTTACACCTCTCAGGCACAAAATCTGAATTATTAGGATCGGTAATTTCACTTTCTGACAAACTAGACTCATTGAAAACATTAAAAATGTTGCTAGGTATGCTGCGTACATGTACTCTCAAAGTCTGGATCGGGGCAGCCATTTTCCCTAGAATTGACGTTTGTAATATCCTGAGAGACATCCCCTAAAAGTTTGTACTTTAAAAAAGTTCAACCCGTACTTCCGCGAAACTTCGCATGAAACGAAAGAAATGGATGCACTAGCGCTGACGACGATTCCCGAGGCGCTTTCACGATTACGAAAAATGCAAAATAATTATAAAGCTTTTCCCCTGGGGGTCGCTGGATCCGGTGTCAGAGTCAGAGGGTAATCGGCCAGTCCCGAGAAGGTCTCAGGATACGGCGTCAGTGAGTAAATGTGACTGTCATACCAGTACCAGTAGACTAGGTGGAAGGCTTTCCCAGACCTCAAACAAACTTCAAAAATTCAATCCCAAAAACAGTCAAATGAAGAGTTCAGTTTAATTTCAGAATCACAAACTGTGACAAACAAATCTTCTCGGTCTTCCCCTTCCACTTTTTCCAGGCATTACCATTTTCCCCATCACTGGAGCAGGTCTCTGAACCTCAGTAGATGGTTTTCAGCTGCACTCAACAGTTCTTTGTCTGCAGAAACTGACGCATTCTTCAGCTGAGGATTTTAAAATGGAAAAAATAGTGATAACAAAAATCTCAAGCTTTGAGCTCATATGTGTGCATCATGGTAAAATCAGTCGCTCATCAAAATAGTGAAATTGAAGAAACCGGCATTTTTCCACCTGTCGGCAATCAATCTTTCTCGGGTTTTTTTAGGGGGCTCAACACCTTTTTAGTCCACTTAAATCACATTTCTTTGGTGATTTTACGGAGAAATGTTAATCAAAGGCACAAAAATTGTAAATTTTCTGTTTCCAAGGACACTCAAGGTTGGTGGTTTGCGGGTGCTGTGGTGCGGTTTGTTTCTTTTTTGCAATCAAACATCTATCGTCTTTATCTCCCCTCTTTCTTTTTTGTATTTGTCACTCTCTTGTAACACCTCAAATCTTCGGCACCTATATGACTTTATTGTGTTGCAAGTGCCGTGAAACGCTTACTAAAACTAAAAGGACACTCAAGCTTGGGAAACCACCAATCTTTCATGACCATTTTCTCGCTAATTTTACCTCTGACATCAGGCGACCCCCACCTCCTTCAGTTTCAAATACCTTTACTTCTATTCAAGACAGATTATCTTTTTTCCATCGATAGCAAAATGAATGAACAAGCTTTAAAGATGACACCAAAAACTCGATATGCCCAAAATTGACAAGCATCTGCTTCCAGCATGTCGTGACTAGTGACGGGCGGGAAATGCTTTTTTCTTCCCGAGCGAGAAGACCGAGAAGCTGACCTACTTCTCACCGGGACCGGTACCTGTCCCGAGAAGTGCTTCTCGTCTCGTGACCAATTTCTCTTCTCGCGCCCTTAGACGGGCAGCTCGCTCAGCAGCCGAGATTTCTCTTCTCGTGCCCGGTGGCCGAGATTTGTCTTCTCGCACCCAAAGACGAGTAGCTCGCCTAGCGAGAAGGCCGGCCATGGCCGGGATCTAAACTAGGCTAGCCCTGTTGCGCAAGCGCAGGCGGTGAAGGAAGGTATGGAGATCTAAGCCTAGGCCTGATCAACTCCCCACTCGCCTCGTCTCGCCACCCTCGCCCCTCCCTTTCAGTTTCAGACGCAGAACGGCACGGTGATGGGTGACACTGTCTGTGTGTCATTTCTCTCTGGCTGTGCCGCTCTTTCCATCAACACCTATCACTCTCTCACTCTCGTTACTCGTTATGTAAAGCCAACGAGTGGTATCACTTCTCGGTACCAGCCAGTAGTTTAGTGGCCGGGAAGTGACGGCAAGGGCATTTCTCGCGAGAAACTGGAACTCTTCTCGGCTCGAGCCCGCTCCTAGTCGTGACACATAAAATATATTAATTACAATAGCTGAGAGCACTCAAGTTTTAAAAGGCTTCTTGTTCTAACAATACTTCAAAATTTATATTTTTTTAGAATTTGTTCTTTATTTCCTTTTATGTCAGGATGAAAGGCAGGGACATCAGAAAAAGAAAAGGTAAATTTAGACAACACTGAGGTTTGTTTGAACCTTGAACTTAAGGCTGTTGTTGAATTCTGTAACAACAACAACAAACCAGCTCGTTTGCAAAAAGTCTGAAGAGTGATTTTTTTGCAAATACAGCCAACGAGACAAACTAATACTTTTTATTTCAAAAGATATAGATCTAGATCTATATTATAGTTATATCACCAGGCTTTGGATGCAATTTTTGGGGGCATCATTTCAGTCACGTCTCCTGTAAATGCTAGAAAAATCAAACTACATACCACATTTGCCTCCATGGTCTTGAAGTAGGACCAAAAGTAGCCTTACAAAGGGAGCTTAAAATGAAAATTACAAAAAAAAATTCACAATAAATTTTAGTAGAAGATAGTGAAGAAACCAACGATGCCACAGGGATTTTGGGAAAATAACTGAAAATTTACATGAATGAGAAAAATGAAGAAAATGACACGATCAAAGTTACGGGGTTTGAAATATATGTCACGAGTGGGCTAGACCAAGACCATGAGATCATCAACGCCGAGACATGAAAGTGCTATCCTGGCTAACTAGTAACAAGCTTAACTGAAAATCAGTGCTGACAGTAGGAACATACAGCCTCTGGAAACGAAGGGGTTAATAGATTTTATACAAATGACATAGGGTTAAATAGAACGCAGAGATACTGAAAACTGTTAATTAGTATCCGTGAAAATAACAAGAAAAAAAAAGCATTCCTGCTAAACATAATTAATTTGTCAAGGTATCAAAATAACGTCATGAATGAAATGCCACAAAACTTAATTACAATGTACCTGTTCGACAAACCATTCAGCTTTGGGAAACATTTCTTCACTTAGTTCAGACTTCAAAAGAGCAGTCAAATAATTGTCGGCAGTTGCCTTGGTCCTAAATAGTTCCATTCCATTCATAAGTAACTGAAATTTAAAAAATAAAACATGTAGTTAGATATACTCAATATATCTGTGTCAAGAAGGAGTCTGTACGATTTATCTTTCTTTTGGCAAAAATTCCTCTTAATCTGTTCACTGCTGTGTAGACGTATATAATCGCTTGTGTTCTCCTAAACTGGTTCGGGGGCTCTCGTGGCCTAGAGGTTAAGGTGTTGGCCTCTCATTCAAAGGTCCCGGTTTTGAATCTGGATAGCGACCAAAAAATTTTCTTCTCTAAAATTGTCTCCTTTCACCTCCTTTCCTGCTCTCTAGCAATGTTCTGTTGTCTGCTTTCATTTCCACTTTCTGCCCCCACCCCCTCACCTCCTTTGCCCCCTCCTCTGGGCTCCTGACTCTTTCTGCAGCCTTTCTACTGTTACTCCTTGGCTCCTCCTTACTGCTGTCTTTCTGCCACACCCCTGATCTTCTGATAGGAAAGATCTACACCTAGCCTTCTTGGACAAGGGCGAAAAATCTTGGACGGCCCGTGTGCAAGTTGCGCACGTTAAAGATCCCTTGATGGTCTAAAATCGATAAGAGTAGGCTTCGGCCGCCACCCGGGCAAAATTCAAAATTTCCTACCAACTGAAAATATTAGGTGTGTCCTGCGCGCTCATATGACCTTATGCAGTTGCGAGTGCCGTAAAACACTTTACAAAAACAAACAAACAAAAATAAACTGGTTCTCAGTCACTTTTTTCAACTGATTTATGGAGGACGTTCTAAAAGATGAAATATTTGCTACTTGTGCAGTTACCTATACTCAATAAAGGGAAATAATTATATTATGGCTTTGTTTGAATCTCTTGTGAATGTACATTTTATTTTGTCTGTACAAACGTAGAAGGAAACAACTCAGCACTGAAAGGGTTAAATGGGTAAGCCCTTAATTTGTCTGTCGAAACACCATGTCATGTGTTAGCAGGGAGGGAGTGAATGAATGAGTGATAGGGGAGAAAAAGAGCGGATACAGAGAAAGAGAGAGAAAGTGGGGGTACGGGGGGGTGGGGGAAGAATTTAAGAGGGAGGGAAAGAGAGAGATTGGGGGGGGGGAGGGAGGAGGGAAGGAGGGAGAGAGAGAGGGATAGGGAGGTGAGAAAGACATTTGCTGACAAGATGTTGAGGGTATATTTTATCTGGCAGAAGCTGGTGAAAGAAAACTGTAATTTTTGTTCAATAAGGGATAAACATATATAGGGCATCTTATCGTATCATATATCTGATCTTAATCAGTATACACTCTATATCATCTTCAGAAACATTAAAAGCCTAGCTGATACTTTTATTTATCAAAACTATCAGCGGCGTGTTGGTGAAGCTAGCTGTTAGGTGCTTCGCCATCACTTGCAGAAAAAGCATGTTTCATTCTCATGTTGGGAGAATTTTTATACATTATCTCCGTCTTTCTGCTGAAACGTTGGGTTGCTACTGACTGACAGGTTAAAAAACAAAAACCCTGCCTCCTAATGGATCTAAATTGTGACAAGGTGGGGCTTAAAAACACTAAAACAAAAACAAACATTATTAAACCTTCTTATAACTTCTTTTAATTGTTGAAGCAAATGAAAATAGGAAAACTGAGCATTGCTGAATAAAAATTTCAGGACCTCACCTAAAAAAGTTTGAGGAAGTCTTATTATTATAAACTTAATTAGAGCAAGTATGATATTAAACTAAATAAGAGATAAGCTAAATCATCTGAGGACGTCTGAATATCAGCTAAATCCGATAATAAGCTAAATTCAATAATAAACTAAATCTAATAACCTAAATCAGAGAAAGTCTGATTGTCCGATTATCAGCTAAATTAGAGACAGTCTAATTATCAACTAAATTAGAGACGTCCAATTATCAACTAAATTAGAGACAGTCCGATTATAAAATAAATTAGAGACAGTCCAACTATAAACTAAATCAACTCAACTGAATGACTACAACAGAGAGAACACAAAACTGCTTTGTCTAAAAAAGCAAACTAAAATGTAACATAGTAGGCCTAGAGACCACACCGCCACTGACCAGGTGACAAAACTCCACTTCCGCCCGAGTGAGTCTGTCCGAGGCTCTGGAGGACAGCATGGAGTTGACCAGTGTCCAGTTCCACGGCTGCTGCACTACGTACTGACCTGGCACACACAGAGAAAAGTCGACTGTTCCATGAAAATGTGTCACTTTTCAAAATGGGGGACTGTATACGATGAACGAGAAGAAGAAGAAAAAGAAGTGAAGTAGAAGAAGAAGAAGAGAAGAAGAAGAAGAAGAGAAGAAGAAGAAGAAGAAGAGAAGTAGAAGAAGAAGAAGAAGTGACATAGAAGAAGAAGAAGAAGTGAAGTAGAAGAAAAAGAAGGAGAAGAAGAAGTAGTAGAAGAAGAAGTAGTAGAAGAAGAAGTAGAAGAAAAAGAAGGAGAAGAAGAAGTAGTAGAAGAAGAAGAAGAAGAAGCGGAGAAAAAGAAGGAGAAGAAGAAGTAGTAGAAGAAGAAGATGGAGAAGAAGAATGGAAGAAAAAGTAGAAGAAGAAAATGGGGTTTATGGACTATGGTGGAGTCTTACACTGTATAGTCGAAAAGAACAAAAGATAAAATATGTACGGTCAAACCTACTCTAAAGGCCACCAGTTTTCACTGTATAATAGAGAAAAAAAAAAAAAAAAAAAAATATATATAAGATAAAATACCACTTTATTTGTTCTTCTTTTTAAGACTTTGTCTTGCCATGGCATCCATATCACATTCAGCGAAGTAATTTATCCCTTAACCTATGAAAACGCAACTTGCCTGTCCACTGTGCAAATTCCATCATGAAACATTTGACCCCCACCTATTTCAATGTAGAAAAATGCAAGAAGGCAAAGAAGTGTTGACTCAAGTTCAAGAACTACCAACCATTTTAATTACCAACAACAAAAATAACTACATTGATTATAAAGAAGCAACTCAACCTCTACCAAGCTATTGCCTGGACAATTCTCAGAGGCAAAAAAAAGACCTCATCTGATGGTTCCGTTTAATTTATGTAAAAACTGTAGCCTCAAATTTAAAAAATGATTTGATACATTACAAATTGCCAGCAAGCTATTCAATTGTCTGAGGGGAAAAAAAGCTAAATTTTTCAGAAGAGAGAAACAATAGTTTCATATTTTTTAAAACACTGGCACCTACATTATGTAGGTCTATCTCTTTTTGTTTTTTTCCTTTGAAACCTATAGGTCTACCAGATACGTCGCTCTTTTAAGCACCAGGAGGCTATCCCGAAAAAAGACAAGAAGTTTTCTCTTTAACCAAACAAATACACACTACTGAAACCCAACTTCTCCTACGGGTAGGGCAATGCCCACTTTTGGTGTAGGTCAAGATTTCTGGAAACCCCCGAAATCTGGTTTAGCCCGCTTGTCCTTAAAAGCAACCATATAGAACTGCAATTCTAAAATATGATCAAAATTTGGGCTAAGTAAGTGCAACGGAACAGTTGGCGGACAATATGTTTACCTAGAATAAACTTTCATGCAACTTACAAACTTCTTCCGAGACTTGAAGGAGGGAACCAACACAAAGAACAGAGAGCAGTCTCACATCAGGATTTTCCTATTCAAAAATATGTAAAAAAATTGACAATTAAATTGGGTCTATATCACAAAATTAAATGTGAGGCAGTGGGGTGGAATCAGGTTCTCGTCAATTTTTGGGCATGTAGAGTTATTGGTATCATCTTAAAGCTTGTTCCCCTGTCTTTATTTTGATGGAAAAAATATCCATTTATCTTGAATACAAGTCGAGACATTTGCGAATGAAGGAGGTGGGGGTCACCTGTTTTCAGAGGTAAAATTAATGAGAAAATGGCCGTCAAAGATTAGTCATTTTCAGAGCTTAAGAGTCCATGGTAACTGAAAATTTATATTTTTTGTGCCTTTAATCAACATTTTTCAGAAAAATCCACCCAGAAATCAGTTCTTTAATGGGCATGAAAGGTGTTGAGCCAAAAAACAAAAATTTTATAAAAATTCACAAACCTGCGAAAAATCCAAGT